TTACCATCCACCCACTTCTGTAGTCTGTCTAAATCTAATGGCAGCCTCGCTCTCCCTTCGAGCATGCCTACCTCTCCCCATATCTTGGTGTCATTGGCAAATTTGGACAGTGTGTTTTCCACCCCCTCGTCCAAGTCGCTGTTGATGTTGAACAGTGTAGGCTCCAGGACCGAGCCCTGCGGGATCCCACTATTCACATCCTGCCAGGTCGAGTACGACCCGTCCACCACCACTCTCTGGGTGCGTTCCTTCAGCCAATTTTTGACCCATCCAACTGTGTAGGCATCAATGCAACAGTCGCTCAATTTATTAATGAGAATGGGGTGAGAGACAGTGTCAAAGGCCTTCTTAAAGTCCAGAAGGACTACGTCCACGGCGACACCATCATCCAGGGATTTAGTTACCTGGTCATAAAAGGCCATCAGGTTAGTCTGGCAGGACCTGCCTTTGATGAACCCATGTTGATTTCCCCTGGGCATGATCTTCCCTGCTGGCCCCTCAAAGATGTGATCCTTGATAATTTTTTCAAGGATTTTCCCCAAGACCGATGTGAGGCTTACATTATTTCTCCTGAAATAGTGTAATCGGGTATATGGTGAGGTATACCATGAAATATTTATTTTAGAATCTAAAATAATATTTTCAAATTAGGTCAGGTCTTAAAGGTGGCATCAAACTCAGAGCTAGGCATCAAATGTTGGTGTGCTTGAATGGTACTGAAGTAACATTCAGCCCTGCACATTCAACACTAGAGTAAGTCGGGCTCTGCAGGGCACAGGGTTCCCCTTTCCTGGAGCACATTTTAGGGCTGGAGCCCCTCTCACAGAACACATTAAAGAAGTGTTTTCTATCATTACAGGAGTGCTCTTCAGTGGTGCTGCATCTGTGACCACTGCTCTTTTGAGACAGATCTTAAAAACACAATTAAATAGCACTGACTTGAGAAATCACATAATTGGGTGGAGATGAAGAAAAGGTTTGATCCTGCATTCTTTACCTAAGGGTTAATCTTACTCCCACTTAAATTAATAATAAACACTTTCCCAGTGACATCACTAGGATCAAGACTGAGCCCTCTGTTTCAAGTCAGTGCGAGTTTCAACCAACCAAGGATGCAAAGGTTTGTTTGATCGGGGCTTGACTCTTCACTCCATCTGCTACTGTGCATAGCACCACTGCCTCCTGTGTTTTGCATATAGTTGTGGTGATGTAAAGGTGGGATGAAGGGAAGGAAAATTAAGTCTGTGATGTGAGATCTGCATTCCTAGGTCTGTATTCTAATACCTTGAGCTGGCTCGTTCAATTTCCTAAGGAGGCATTTCCTCTAGAAATGCCTTTTAAAAGACAGAAGATGGGGGGGGGGGAACCCCCCAAAAAAAATTGGG